AGGGGGTTCCCACCCCTGAACTTGGTGCAGTCCTAGGAGCCCCGCTTCCGTCCTAAAAACTTTAATTACTTTGAAAACACCCCATAAAATCACGCCAGCAATTCTATTGATGTCCAAGCCCGGCTTTATATTCAATTGAGACTTTACTGTCACAAACACTTCACCAATTACCTATTAAACTAAATCCACTCAGCAGTCCAGCTGCATTAAATCCTTCCGCGGTCCAACCGAATTCAATCATTTTCAGCAGTCCAACTGCTTTAAGTCCTCAGTACTGTCATGAGATTCTCATCAAAATCAAAGCAGACATTTACCGGCAACTTTTACTGAATAGACATTTAATTTTGTCATCCAATTCAGCACACTTTGGATAAAATCAACAGGCCTGTGCCTACCTCTTTTTTAAAGGCGCCTGTCCCCTCAGTTTGGTTGCCGGGTCACACCTGCCTGTCTGACCACAACGGACCACCGAATTTCACCGTATACGCCTCCAATTCTCTCCCTCCTCATCCACCGGATGAAGCCCCCAAATGTTAAGGTTCACATAATTGAGGAAGAAGAGTACAAACAACCATTGGTCAAGAAGATCTTGGTCAAACAATTGATTTTAATGAATACACGCGTGGGAAGACCACTCTGTACGCAGACAGGGATTAATCTTCGACTTAATCAAAGCATACACAGATTTTTATAGCATCAGGGTTTGAATTAATGACGCCCCTTCATACGTCACAGACAGAATATATACATACGTCAAATCAAAACCACAATGACTTTTAACACAGTTTAAAAGAACGTTGTCTTCGTCTTCATGGCAGGTACATCCTGTCACTGCCGGATGCTCGCTTGTCATCTTGACACCTCAGCAGCAGTTCTGCGACAAACTGCTCTTTTGCAACCCCAAGCAAAACATGATTAAACTTCCACCTATAAATGATTCTCTCTAACTGAGTGTGTGTGTGCGTCTATGTCGTCCTCAAATGCTCTCTCAATTCACCCGTTGCACTTCTGACCTTTTACCAGACCAGAGGCTCATCCTTATGTGTAATAACCTAACTGCAACTATGTTGAATAAATGTTTTAATCAAGAACCTCTACTAAGAGCTTACTAAAAGAATATAAAAGTGTAACAGACAATTTGAATAAACTAGTAATTCAAATAGCCTCGTCTAACCTGCTCCTCAGAATAACTTTCGGTTTCAGTTCTGCAAACTCTCTGCAACTTCCTGTCAACTGCAACTTAGTCTTTCTGAAAGACACACACTGTTTAAACCTCTGAATACAATATCAATGCTGCAGATTATATTATTAATGCAATGGTAATAATGATGATTATTTAACAATAGCAGTAAAATAATTTACCTGCTCCACACTTGAAAAGAACTCATAAATATACGGGCAGAAAAAGAATGACCATACAATTTTTTTTAATGGTATGCTACAAACAGTGTTGGATAAGTTACTTTAAAAAAGTAATTAATTACTAATTACTTAATCAATATTGTATTTAAAATACTTATCTAATTACTGTGTTTGAAAAATAACTTAATTACTCAATAAGTAATTTAACTAAATACTTCCCTATAAACCTTGAGTGGACAAACAATAGAAATTAAACTCTTTAAATAATAAATAATTTTTTTTTAAAAACATACGAGTCAACATAAAATAGTTTAGACTTTTAGCTTTCTGAATCATCTTTATTACATTCTATAAAAAAACATCCATCTATCCATCCATCCATCCATCCATCTTCATCCGCTTTATCCGAGGCCGGGTCGCGGGGGCAGCAGCCTAAGCAGAGAAGCCCAGACCTCCCTCTCCCCAGCCACCTCCTCCAGCTTATCTGGGGAAACACCAAGGCGTTCCCAGGCCAACCGAGAGATATAATCTCTCCAGCGTGTCCTGGGTCTGCCCCGGGGCCTCCTCCCGGTGGGACATGCCCAGAACACCTCACCCAGGAGACGTCCAGGAGGCATCTTTGTCAGATGCCCGAACCACCTCAGCTGGCTCCTTTTGATGTGGAGCAGCAGAGGCTCTACTCTGAGCCCCTCCCGGATGGCCGAACTTCTCACTCTATCTCTAAGGGAGAGGCCAGCCACCCTTCGGAGGAAGCTAATTTCCACCGCTTGTATCCACAATCTCGTTCTTTCGGTCACTACCCACAGCTCGTGGCCATAGGTGAGGGTAGGGACGTAGATCGACTGGTAAATTGAGAGCTTCACTTTTACACTCAGCTCCCTCTTCACCACGACGGACCGGTGCAGTGTCCGCATCACTGCAGCCGCAGCAACAATCTCCCATTCTCCCATCACTCGCGAACAAGACCCCGAGATACTTGAACTCCTCCACTCCGGGGCAGGAACTCATCCCCGACCCGGAGTGGGCACTCCACCCTTTCCCGGCTGAGAACCATGGCCTCAGATTTGGAGGTGCTGATCCTCATTCCCGCTGCTTCACACTCGGCTGCGAACCATTCCAGTGCGAGCTGGAGGCCTTCACCCGATGAAGCCAACAGAACCACATCATCCACGAAAAGCAGAGATGAGATTCTGAGGCCACCAAAGGGAAAGCCCCCTGCTACTTGGCTGCGCCTAGAAATCCTGTCCATAAAAATTATGAACAGAACCGGTGACAAAGGGCAGCCCTGGCGGAGCCCATCACCCACCGGGAATGAGTCCGACTTATTGCCGGCAATGCGAACCAAGCTCTTGTAACGGTTGTATAGGGATCGAATGGCCCGTAGCAATGGGCCAGACACCCCATACTCCCGCAGCACCTCCTACAGGACACCCCGAGGGACACAGTTGAATGCCTTCTCCAAGTCCACAAAACACATGTAGACTGGTTGGGCAAACTCCCACGCACCCTCAAGTTTCCTTGAGAGGATAAAAAGCTGGTCCAGTGTTCCGCGACCAGCATTGTTCCTCCTGTATCCGAGGTTCAACTAGCAGATGAACTCTCCTTTCCAGCACCCGGGCATAGACTTTCCCAGGGAGGCTGATGAGTGTGATCCTCCTGTAGTTGGAACACACCCTCCGGTCTCCTTTCTTAAAGATGGGGACCACCACACCGGTCTGCCAGTCCAGGGGTACTGACCCTGATCTCCACGCAACATTGTAGAGGCGTGTCAACCAGGACAGCCCTACAACATCCAGAGCCTTCAGGAACTCGGGGTGGACCTCATCAACACCAGGGGCTCTGCCACCAAGGAGTTGTTTAACTGCCTCAGTGACCTTGCCCCCTGAAATTGGCGGGTCATTCCCCATCATCCCCAGACTCTGCTTCCTCCTCGGAAGACGTGTCAGTGGGATTAAGGAGGTCCTCGAAGTATTCCTTCCACCGCCTGACAATTTTCTCAGTCGACGTCAGCAGCGCTCCGCCAGCACTATACACAGTGCAGGTAGAGCACCGCTTTCCCCTCCTGAGACGCCTGACGGTTTGCCAGAATCTCTTCGAGGCAGTCCGAAAGTCTTGTCCCTTTTGCCAGTCTTGGCAGCCGGGGATCAGTCCGCCAGGGCCTCCGCTCCTGGCCGCCACCCGGCACACAATGCACCCGACCCCTATGGCGCCTCCTGCAGGTGGTGGGCCTGTGGGAGGATGGGCCCATGTCTCCTCTTCGGGCAGTCCCCATGGACTAAGGCCCGGCCACCAGACGCTCGCCCTCGGGTACTCTCCCCAGGCCTGGCTACAGGGCGAGGCCGCGGTAACCCTATCCCGGGCAGGGTAAACTGTTCCCTCGATGTTCTCTTCATAAGGGTCTTCTGAATCGCTCTTTGCCTGGTCCCTCACCCTGGTCCTGGGTGAGGGATCTAAATTGTATACCTTTAGGTTATTTCAACCTTATCTTTACCTACTCAAACAGCAAAACATCACAGGAGACAGTGTAAATTTCTCATAGATTATGTATTGTGGTTATTGTAACTTTCTTACAGAAAATGTAAAAATTAAAATACACTTCACAGAATAAAAATATAAATATATATCTTTTTATAAACATACAATTCATATAAATAAGAAAAGTGCCAGTGCTTTTTATTTGGGGGGGGACCACACGTAGACCCACTCTTTACACTTTATTATAAATTTTTTGTGATATATATACTGTGTATGCTCTATATGAAGGGAAACCTGAGACCTTTAATTTACAAGCATTTAAAAAGTATAAGAAGAGCTGTTGCAGATAATTTTGTTACAAAGTCAAGAAGTTGTTTCTATATATATTTAATGTTTAGTCTTTTTCTATATAAAAGAGGAACAGTTAACAGACATGTAGGCAGAGACACACTTAAAAGCAAGAGGGTCTTTGTAGGGTCTTTACCCTAACTTAACAATTTAAAGCACCTCGAGGTGACTTTTAGTGTGGTTTGGTGCCATATAAATAAACTTGAATTTAATTAAACTGAGCAGCATAAACTTCTAAGCCTCTAAGATAAAGCACCCATTTTGTTTTATCTTTTGCCTTTGTGTTGTTAGTTCAATTTTTCTATTTATGATTCAATTAATGGGGTGCATAAAATAAGTCTGTGTCATTTTGTTCATTTCAGGGTTATTCCCACCCAGAAATATTTTCATATTGAAAAAAATAGCAATTCTACTCGTTCCGATGTGTCCAATAAATAAAGAGTTGCAGTGAAAGAGATCATCTGCTGCTTGTCTTTCAAATGAAAACCAGCACAGATGCTATTGCTGGCTTGATAGAACCCATAATAGCAGCATCAGAGGGAAAACAGTGCTGGAATTAATCTTGTGGCATACTCCACTTGAAGCTGTAGTTGCAGCAGATGTAGTAGTTGTTGCACTAGGTGTAGTTGTTGGTACAACAGTTGTAGTAGTTGATGTAGTAGTTGTTGCACTAGGTGTAGTTGTTGGTACAACAGTTGTAGTAGTTGATGTAGCATCTGTGGTAGAAAAAATGTACAAAACATTTCTAACCAAGTCACTCTAAAACATTTGAGACTTTTTGATCAAACATAACGGCTATGATTACTCACCTGTGTCATTGACAAGGATGGAATCCCTTTCAATGTCAAAGCCTGTAACGTTTGAGGCTGTACTGTTCAAAACATTTCTAATCTCAGCTTTGTTTGGAACAGATGTGTTTACAAACCGAAGTTCCATCGTGTTGATGACTGATCCTTGCCTGTAAATGCAGAGACAAAAATTATAGATTGGAATATTTAGGGCTTTAGGTGAGTGCTCTTAACATTATATGTCAAAATACTGAAATCACCTGAAGCTCACAACATTCAAGAAGACAAAAGAAGAAGGGAACGCCAATCTGTAAGGAGGTTCAATCTGCAGACACAAAGGAGAATTTTCTTAAAATTCAAGCTCAAAACCATCCTGCTCCAGGGATAACTCACTAACTAAAAAAACTGGGTAAAACTGGGAAAACTTTCACAGATTTTAAATTGATGCAGTTTAATTACTTTATGCAATTTTATCATAAGTATATTATCCATCTTCTAGTGAGAGAAATGTAGTGTGTCTTGTCTTGAATAAGTGCTGTAAAGTTAGGTTCAATGTATGAGTTGGAGATGAGAAAGACAGTAGACAAGTGAAAGAAAGAGAGTCTTTATCTGTATTTGTTAAAGTGAAAAGGTTTGTTCAAATATGAAGTGAGAACCAACATCTTAAGAGCTTTTCTCCTTTGAGAGAAAAATAAACATCCAGCAATAATACTGACGTAAAGTGCTTTGCCACAAGTACAAAAGACTGCAGATCAATAGCTCAAAAGCACATGTGTAAATCTTGGGACAAAGTGTTCCAAAGTTTTTAACAGTGAAAGTAAATCTCCATAAGTTGATTCTGTTCATCTGGACGTAGAGTTTTGGATGACTGATGAAACGTTTCTGCCACAAAACGCTTCATCCAGATGAAGAGAATCAACCTTTGGCGATTTACTTACCTGGATGATTGAGCATGCATCAAAGTGCAAGCAAAGATTCTATAGTTGACTTATTCCTGCTGTAATTCAGTGAAATTCTGAGCATTTAGTACTTTAATAGCTGTTCTTTAGACACACCGTTCATGCTACTTTCCACAAAGTAAAACACTTACCTGTGCCTTTATGGATGCAGCTCGCGTTTTAAAAGCTTCAGATAATGAATTCAACAAGTCTGTTGTAAAATTGCTTTGAATGGATCTGAATTCAACAAATATGGGGGTGGTGAAGGTCGGGGCTGAGGTGGAGGTCGGGGCTGAGGTGGTGGTGGAAGCCGTAGTTGTGGCTGGGGCTGTGGTGGTGGTGGTGGTTGAAGCCGTCGTTTTTGTGGTGGTGGCACCTGTGATTGTGGTGGGGGATGTGGTAGTGGTGGTTGAAGCTGTCGTTGTTGTGGTGGTGGCACCTGTGATTGTGGTGGGGGCTGTGGTGGTGGTGGTGGTGGTTGAAGCCGTCGTTCTTGTGGTGGTGGCAGCTGTGATTGTAGTAGCAGCTGTGGTGGTGGTGGCAGCCGTCATTGTAGTGGCTGGGGACGTGGTGGTGGTGGCAGCCGTCGTTGTTGTAGTGACTGGGGATGTGGTGGTGGTGGCTGATGTGGTGGTGGTAGCAACCGTCGTTGTTGTTGTGGCTGCTGTGGTGGTCGTGGTGGCAGCTGTCGTTGTTGTACTGGCTGTGGATGTGGAGGTGGTGGCTGCCGTCAGTTTTGTTGTGGTTGGGGATGTGGTGGTGGTGGCTGCTGTGGTGGTGGTGGCAGCCGTTGTTGTTGTAGTGGTTGGAGCTGTGGTGGTGGTGGCGGCCGTCGTTGTTGTAGTGGCTGGGACGGCTGTGGTGGTGGCAGCCGTCGTTGTTGTAGTTGCTGGGGTGGTGGTGGTGGTGACAGCCGTCGTTGTTGTAGTGTCTGGGGATGTGGTGGTTGTTGCTGCCGTCGTTGTTGTAGTGGCTGGGGCTGTGGTGGTTGTGGCTGCCATTGTTGTTGAAGTGGCCTGGGTTTTGGTGGTAGTTGCTTCCGTCGTTGTTGTAGTGTCTGGGGCTGTGTTGGTTGTGGCTGCAGTGGTGGTGGTGGCAGCCATCGTTGTTGTAGTGTCTGGGGCTGTGGTGGTATTGGCTGCAGTGGTGGTTGTGGCAGCCATTGTTGTTGTAGTGTCTGGGGCTGTGGTGGTTGTGGCTGCCGTCTTTGTTGTAGTGGCTGGGGCTGTGGTGGTTGTGGCTGCAGTGGTGGTTGTGGCAGCCATTGTTGTTGTAGTGTCTGGGGCTGTGGTGGTTGTGGCTGCCGTCTTTGTTGTAGTTTCTGGTGCTGTGGTGATAGTGGCTGCAGTGGTGGTGGTGGCATCCGTCGCTGTTGTAGTGGGTGGGGCTGTGGTGGTGGTGGCTGTTATTGTTGTTGTTTTTTCTGGGGCTGTGGTGGTAGTGGCTGCAGTGGTGGTGGTGGCAGCCATCGTTGTTGTAGTGTCTGGGGCTGTGGTGGTTGTGGCTACCGTCTTTGTTGTAGTGTCTGGGGCTGTGGTGGTAGTGGCTGCAGTGGTGGTGGTGGCAGCCATCGTTGTTGTAGTCTCTGGGGCTGTGGTGGTTGTGGCTGCAGTGGTGGCAGCCATTGTTGTTGTAGTGTCTGGGGCTGTGGTGGTTGTGGCTGCCGTCGTTGTTGTGGCTGGGGCTGTGGTGGTAGTTGCTTCTGTCGTTGTTGTAGTGTCTGGGGCTGTGGTGGTTGTGGCTGCTATGGTGGTGGTGGCAGCCGTCGTTGTTGTAGTGTCTGGGGCTGTGGTGGTAGTGGTTGCAGTGGTGGTGGTGGCAGCCATCAGTGTTGTTGTGTCTGGGGCTGTGGTGGTTGTGGCTGCAGTGGTGGCAGCCATTGTTGTTGTAGTGTCTGGGGCTGTGGTGGTTGTGGCAGCCATTGTTGTTTTAGTGTCTGGGGCTGTGGTGGTAGTTGCTTCCGTCGTTGTTGTAGTGTCTGTGGCTGTGGTGGTTGTGGCTGCTGTGGTGGTTGTGGCAGCCGTCGTTGTTGTCGTGTCTGGCTCTGTGGTGGTAGTGGCTGCAGTGGTGGTGGTGGCAGCCATCGTTGTTGTAGTGTCTGCGGCTGTGGTGGTTGTGGCTACTGTGGTGGTAGTGGCTGGGGCTGAGGTGGTAGTTGCTTCCGTCGTTGTTGTAGTGTCTGGGGCTGTGGTGGTTGTGGCTGCTGTGGTGGTGGTGGCAGCCGTCGTTGTTGTAGTGTCTGGGGCTGTGGTGGTTGTGGCTGCAGTGGTGCTGGTGGCAGCCGTCGTTGTTGTAGTGGCTGGGGCTTCTTTGGTGGTGGTTGTGGCAGCCGTCGCTGCTGTAGTGGGTGGGGCTGTGGTGGTTGTGGCTGTTATTGTTGTTGTAGTTTCTGGGGCTGTGGTGGTTGTGGCTGTAGTTGTGGTGGTGGCAGCCATCATTGTTGTTAGGTCTGGGGCTGTGGTGGTTGTGGCATCCGTCGCTGTTGTAGTGGCCGGGGCTGTGGTGGTAGTGGCTGGGGCTGTGGTGGTAGTTGCTTCCGTCGTTGTTGTAGTGTCTGGGGCTGTGGTGGTTGTGGCTGGGGCTGTGGTGGTAGTTGCTTCCGTCGTTGTTGTAGTGGCTGGGGCTTCTTTGGTGGTGGTTGTGGCATCCGTCGCTGCTGTAGTGGGTGGGGCTGTGGTGGTTGTGACTGTTATTGTTGTTGTAGTTTCTGGGGCTGTGGTGGTTGTGGCTGTAGTTGTGGTGGTGGCAGCCATCATTGTTGTTAGGTCTGGGGCTGTGGTGGTTGTGGCATCCGTCGCTGTTGTAGTGGCTGGGGCTGTGGTGGTTGTGGCTGCAGTGGTGGTGGTTGCAGCCATCGTTGTTGTAGTGTCTGGGGCTGTGGTGGTGGTGGCATCCGTCACTGTTGTAGTGGCTGGGGCTGTGGTGGTTGTGGCTGCAGTGGTTGTGGTGGCAGCCATCGTTGTTGTAGTGTCTGCGGCTGTGGTGGTAGTGGCTGCAGTGGTCGTGGTGGCAGCCATCGTTGTTGTAGTGTCTGGGCCTGTGGTGGTTGTGGATGCAGTGGTGGCAGCCATTGTTGTTGTAGTGTCTGGGGCTGTGGTGGTTGTGGCTGCCATCGTTGTAGTGGCTGGGGCTGTGGTGGTAGTTGCTTCCGTCGTTGTTGTAGTGTCTGGGCCTGTGGTGGTTGTGGATGCAGTGGTGGCAGCCATTGTTGTTGTAGTGTCTGGGGCTGTGGTGGTTGTGGCTGCCATCGTTGTAGTGGCTGGGGCTGTGGTGGTAGTTGCTTCCGCCGTTGTTGTAGTGTCTGGGGCTGTGGTTGTTGTGGCCGCTGTGGTGGTGGTGGCAGCCGTCGTTGTTGTAGTGGCTGGGGCTTCTTTGGTGGTGGTTGTGGCATCCGTCGCTGTTGTAGTGGGTGGGGCTGCGGTGGTTGTGGCATCCGTCGTTGTTGTAGTGTCTGGGGCTGTGGTGGTAGTGGTTCCAGTGGTGGTGGTGGCATCCGTCGCTGTTGTAGTGGGTGGGCCTGTGGTGGTTGTGGCTGCAGTGGTGGTGGTGGCAGCCATTGTTGTTGTAGTGTCTGGGGCTGTGGTGGTTGTGGCTGCCGTTGTTGTAGTGGGTGGGGCTGTGGTGGTTGTGGCATCCGTCGCTGTTGTAGTGGGTGGGGCTGTGGTGGTAGTGGTTGCAGTGGTGGTGGTGGCATCCGTCGCTGTTGTAGTGGGTGGGCCTGTGGTGGTTGTGGCTGCAGTGGTGGTGGTGGCAGCCATTGTTGTTGTAGTGTCTGGGGCTGTGGTGGTTGTGGCTGCCGTTGTTGTAGTGGGTGGGGCTGTGGTGGTTGCGGCATCCGTCGCTGTTGTAGTGGGTGGGGCTGTGGTGGTTGTGGCTGCAGTTGTGGTGGTGGCAGCCATCGTTGTTGTAGTGGCTGGGGCTGTGGTGGTTGTGGCATCCGTCACTGTTGTAGTGGGTGGGGCTGTGGTGGTTGTGGCTGCCACCGTTGTTGTAGTTTCTGGGGCTGTGGTGGTAGTGGTGGCAGTGGTGGTGGTGGCTGCCATCATTGTTGTAGTTTCTTGGCCTGTGGTGGTTGTGGCTGCAGTGGTGGTGGTGGCAGCTGTCGTTGTTGTAGTGGCTGGGGCTTCTTTGGTGGTGGTTGTGTCATCCGTCGCTGTTGTAGTGGGTGGGGCTGCGGTGGTTGTGGCATCCGTCGTTGTTGTAGTGTCTGGGGCTGTGGTGGTAGTGGTTGCAGTGGTGGTGGTGGCAGCCATCGTTGTTGTAGTGCCTGGGGCTGTGGTGGTTGTGGCATCCGTCGCTGTTGTAGTGGTTGGGCCTGTGGTGGTTGTGGCTGCAGTGGTGGTGGTGGCAGCCATTGTTGTTGTAGTGTCTGGGGCTGTGGTGGTTGTGGCTGCCGTTGTTGTAGTGGGTGGGGCTGTGGTGGTTGTGGCATCCGTCGCTGTTGTAGTGGGTGGGGCTGTGGTGGTTGTGGCTGCAGTTGTGGTGGTGGCAGCCATCGTTGTTGTAGTGGCTGGGGCTGTGGTGGTTGTGGCATCCGTCGCTGTTGTAGTGGGTGGGGCTGTGGTGGTTGTGGCTGCCACCGTTGTTGTAGTTTCTGGGGCTGTGGTGGTAGTGGTGGCAGTGGTGGTGGTGGCTGCCATCATTGTTGTAGTTTCTTGGCCTGTGGTGGTTGTGGCTGCAGTGGTGGTCGTGTCAGCCGTTGTTGTTGTAATGTCTGGGCTGTGGTGGTTGTGGCTGCAGTGGTGGTTGTGGCATCTGTCGCTGTTGTAGTGGGTGGGGCTGTGGTGGTTGTGGCTGCCATTGTTGTTGTAGTTTCTCGGGCTTTGGTGGTAGTGGCTGCTGTGGTGGTGGTGGCAGCCATCGTTGTTGTAGTGCCTGGGGCTGTGGTGGTTGTGGCTGCAGTGGTGGTTGTGGCATCCGTCGCTGTTGTAGTGGGTGGGGCTGTGGTGGTAGTGGCTGCAGTGGTGGTGGTGGCAGCCATCGTTGTTGTAGTGCCTGGGGCTGTGGTCGTTGTGGCTGCCATTGTTGTTGTAGTTTCAGGGGCTGTGGTGGTAGTGGTTGCAGTGGTGGTGGTGGCAGCCATCGTTGTTGTAGTGTCTGGGGCTGTGGTAGTTGTGGCTGCAGTGGTGGTGGTGGCAGCCATCGTTGTTGTAGTGGCTGGGGCTGTGGTGGTTGTGGCGTCCGTCGTTGTTGTAGTGGCTGGGGCTGTGTTGGTTGTGGCTGCAGTGGT